TAAAAATTGCACGTAATCCAAATTACCTTAGGAAGGTGCCACCCTGAGGTCTCAATAGTGTCTTTCAATAAATTCAACACAGCTAATTTTCCTAGGGATTTAGGATACATTTGCTTCTTCCGTGAGCACAAGGTAAAGTTGTTGGGTTGTATTAAGACACCACAATGTTTGAAAAACATATGTTCAAATACTAGTGTTCCATTGTACAATGCAAGGCAATTGGTTAATAGGAATGGCTGAGGAAAGAACAGGGCTCCCACGTTATCTTATGCCCACTCCTGGGCATGAGGTCAGAACTCCTTACGTGGAATAGTGGATGAAATGACCTACAGTATTTAAATGTTTGTCTCATTCGCTCTCCCACTTGCTCTTGTCCTCACTATTTTTTACTGATGTGGTACTAAGTGCATATAATTTAGTTCCGATTAGTTGTCTGTGAATATGATGTCCTTCCATTGTNTACTAAGTGCATATAATTTAGTTCCGATTAGTTGTCTGTGAATATGATGTCCTTCCATTGTTGTTATAAAGTTAATTATGTAATTGTGTTTCTGGTAAACGTTAAAGGAGAAAAAGAGGGTTTTATGGGACAATGTAATGGAGGGATAGCCCAAACTGAGAAGGAATCAGATCATAATCCTGAGCAGCTGGATATTAAGCAAAATCTGAAGGGATGTAAGCCACAGACATCATGTGCAGAGTATGCCATGCTGGGGAAGGAGCAAGTGAAGAGACTGTGAGATGCAAAGAGGTGTCACATGTCTGAGGACCTGACAGAGGCCAATGAGGCTGGAACAGAGAGAGTGAGGGAGGGAAGAGTTTGCAACAGTGCCGTTAAAGCTGTTAAAAGCAGAGCCTTTTAGTTGATGTCAAGGATTCTACTTTATATCCTAAGAGAAATGAGAAGCTAGTGATGACCACACTTCTGCATAGAATTTATCTTAAAGCCCTGGGTAGAAATAATGATCAGATGCTCTCAAGGTCAGAGGCAAGTAAGGGTAACTCACACTTTCAGAGGACTAGACCTCTCACCATCCACCAGAATAGTATCATAGATTTGGTGGTCAACCAATTTTCTCTGAGAAGACTCTTGAGGAAAAGTAGATCATTCTAATCACTAAATTCTAAATTTTGTGAAGTTTGTGCTTCTGTCCTTAACATGGGACTTTACATTAACCACTAATTGAGTATTTGTTTAATTCATGTTTTTATAAACTGTCTACATGATATTGCTATCTGAAAATGTATGGTGACATAATAATATCAATAATATTTATTGAACTGGTACCACGAGCTAGGCAATATTCTAAACACTTTACATGTGCTGACTCATTTAATAGTGATACAACCCTAAGGAAAATTTTATTATTTTTATATTATAAATGGGGGAAGTGAGGCCCAGTGAGTTTAAGTCACTTGTCTGAGGTAAAAAAGAAAAAAAAAAAAAAAAAAAAAAAAAAAAAAAAAAAAAAAAAAAAAAAAAAAAAAAAAAAAAAAAACCCTAGGAAGCTGCAGAAAGGGATGCAAACCCAGGCTGTTTTGCTCCAGAGGCGGCTGAATTAACCAGGCTGCTGGGAAGATCTAGGAAGAGAGCAAGGATAGCTACCTATAAAGGTATCTTATGCGAGACACCAAAGGAACTTCCAATGGTGATAACATTTTTGTCAATGTCCATACGGAGCTGGTGAACAACAGAATCTACCCGTTCTGCATCCTAGGGCACTGAGCTCCTGTGTGGAGTATGTGTGTTTGAAGAGATGTGCTTCTGAGCATCACTCAAACTAAATCAGACGGATCAGTCATCATTCATACGAAATGTCCCTGCCTGATGAACACATTGGGCTCAAGACTTTACATTAATTCTTACTTAAATACTCCTCAGTTGTATAATTATTTTTATGTTTATTCTCTTGACCTAAATACCTATTATCCTAATTTCATTATAATTGCATTCCGCTCTGTCCATCTTTGTAAGAATAATGACAGTGTGGTATTGCTTTTATTACAGCCAAAGAGGCTCTATTTCATTATAACCAAGTAACTTCAAGCTTGCTCTTAAATTGACAGTGTGCTGATGGCCAGTACTTTAGAACCATGTTACTTATTTCTATTAAAGTGGCAGATATTTTCTGCTGGACACAGAGGTGAAAGAAACCTAATGAATTCAGTAGGGGGAAAAAAAAACAATGCTATTACTTTTTGAAATAATGAAATCTTAAGACCATTAGCACAGCTATATGATTTTTATCTATCTTTTGCTCTCCAAACACAAAGGTAAAGTTTTCAAACAATACCTACTATTACCAAGAATATGTTTTTAAAAAACCAAGGAGCATAGGGCAAATCTACATTTTGAAGTATATCATTGTGTTCAATTGGTTTAAAGTTCAACGAAAAATTTTACTAACAAAGGATGTCAAAGTGTAAAAAAAAAAATCACTTGACCTGAAGTCTCCATGTGGTACTTAATTTTGTAAGCTCCTTTTATTTTTTAAGTCAGGGATTTTGGTTGTGTAAGTAACCAGAGAAAGTATCCCTCAAATCAGAGACTCTTTTACAAATTCTGATTGTGTAAATTTAAAAATCTAGCAACATGGAATGCGGATGGTATTGGTAGAGAGGCCCGCCAGCTTCCAGGATTGCCAAATATCTGGGATTCCAAACCTCAGACTGGATGGAAGAGTCTATCATGCAACTGTCTCTCAGCAATGAGTATTCCATCAGGACTCCCTAATGACAGGAGACTGAGGAATTGTTTTGGTGACAGTGAATTTTATGGGGAGAGGGAAAACAGTAGAGAATGTGATTGAATTAAAGGTATTTAAAAGTACGATGTGGTATGAAACATGGGAAGAAAAGAACTTAAAAATCGCTGACGGATGGGGCAAAGAAACCTGTACTTGTCTTCAAAAGTCTCTTGTTGGAAGCAGTTCTCTCAAATTAACAGCTAGTAAATGATGTTCCTGTACACAAGTACATTAACTACTTGGAGCAAGGATTTCCTGTTCTGCAAAATAAAACTAAGAATGCAGAAAGTCCTTATTACTTGAGGATAATTCATGTTGGGGAAAATGCCACTTAAAAGTGTATCTATTTTAAATGGGAATCAAATTAGTTTTAATAAATGGTAAAAAAAAATATTTAAATGGTTTTTTTTTCTGGAACTAAAAAGTGTGCAAGTGTGTTTATTTTATCTAATATCAACTACCGTATAGATTATAATTACAACTATGCACTCATTATTAGGACACATAATAAATAAGTCATTGATATTTCTTCATAATCTTATGAAGGTCCTGTTTTTTGTTTTTTTTGTTTTTTTTTTTTTTTGTCTTTTTTCGTGACCGGCAACGGATCGCAACCCTCAGTGTTGCGCCCGTACCGGACCGGGACCAGCAACGGGATCGCAATCCCCGGTGTTGCTCCCGCCCCTCGCTCAGCCAGTGAGCGGCCGGTCTGTATGTGGGATCCGAACCCTCGGCGGGAGCGCTACCGCGCTTCCCAAG